TGCTCCCTCCGCCCTCCTCCGCCCTCTTCCGCCCTCCTCCGTCCTCCTCCGCCCTCCTCCGCCCTCCTACGCCCTCCTCCGCCCTCCTCCTCCTCTTGCTCCGCCCTCCGTCCCCTCCCTCCTGCTGCTACCTCCGCCCTCCTCCTCCTCCGCACTCCTCCTCCGCCCTCCTGGGGGACAGCGCTCGGCGGGTGCGCCGCGAGGGCGCCTCCCGGCCGATCCCTGGGCAGGCCCCCCAGCGGGCCGACGAGCTCAGAGAGCAGCAAGGGGGCCTCGCGCCGCCCGAGCGCCGGCGAGATCGGCCGAGGTCTCGGAGGAGGACGGATCGAGGTTCAAGGATCGAGGACCGAGGTCGTCGTCAGTCGTCGTCGTCGTCAGTCGTCGTCGTCGTCGTCGTCGTCGTCGTCGTCGTCGTCGTCGTCGTCGTCGTCGTCGTCGTCGTCGTCGTTCGTCGTCGGTCGTCGGTCGTCGTCGGTCGTCGTCGTCGTCGTCGTCGTCGTCGGTCGTCGGTCGTCGTCGGTCGTCGGCCGTCTGCCGTCGGTCGTCGGTCGTCGGTCGTCGGTCGTCGGTCGTCCTCGGTCGTCGGTCGTCGGTCGTCGGTCGTCCGTCGTCGTCGGTCGTCGGTCGTCGGTCGTCGGTCGTCGGTCGCCGTCGTCGTCGGTCGTCGTCACAGTGAGGAGGAGGAAGAGGAGGAGGGGGGGGAGGGGGAGGAGGAGCGAGGATGGAGAAGGGACAAGGAACGAGAGAGGAGGGAGGAGGGAGGGTAGGGGGAGGAGAGACGAGGTGCGAGAAAGGGGAGGGAGGACGAAGCGGAGAGAGGCAGAGGAGGCGGGTGACGAGGCAAGGCGTACCAATCAGCCGCTTTCATCTGTGTGTGCTCTCCAATGGGGGGGTATCCTTTGTCGGGGTTGGTGACGTGGGCACCCCGAACCAGCGATATTTTCTCTCCCCTCCGATGGTCCTCCTTCTCCAATTAGCGGGCCAGGATGGCACGCGGGCTGAGAGACGGCCTTCAAGCTCGCACCCTCGCTCTGAACCAAACAGCAAGCAGTATGTGCTTAACTTGCCTCCCGCCGCGCAAGTGCGGTCGCAAAACGTACGCACAAGTTGTTCTGCCATTGCATGAGACGGCCTTCAGACACGCACTTCACGCTGGCAAATTATCGGAAACCAGACGGGGGAGGGGAGGGTAGGGCACTCTTGGGAGGCATGGAAGAGGGAAGGAAGACGTCGGACGTCACAAAGTCACGGTGCTGGGCTTCGCTCCAGCATCACTTCGGGGCATCTGGCCGCCCTCTACGGAGGCTCTCATGACGCAGGAACGCCACAAAGTCACGGTGCTGAGCTCCAGACCAGCATCGCTTCGGGGCATCTGCTCGCCCTCTACAGACGCTCAAATGTTGATTTCCTCCTCGGCCACCGGAATGGCCCCCTCCTTGGCCCCCGAGGCCGCCCGGAGACAGCAAAAGTACGAGACTCCATCAGGCACCCAACTGTCCCCCAACGGAAAAATCTAGCAGAAGCGGCTGCGCTGTGATTCTCTCTCGCCGCTCTGGCTGGCCCTCGAGTTGGATCTAAGCCACTGTTGGTTCCTTGGGCGCGGGTTTCTGGAAGGCGGGGTCACTGGCGCCGCAGAACATGCCGCCCTTGTCGGCCCAGTAGAACGCCGGAGAGGTCATCGCCCAAAAGATCACGTAGGCACCGTGGACCTTGAACGGGAGCAGGGTGTCGATGGGCCCAAGGGTGTTGTAGAAACACCACAGGGCGATCACGGCGCCCAAGTTCCCGCCCGCCCCCACCAGCGCGGATGTGCACGCGAGCTGCTTCGGGTTCATGAACGGCACGATGCCGTAACTGGTGCCCTCGGTCATCTGCACGAAGAGAGAGAAACACAGCAAGACGGCCAGGGCGACGTACCATGGCTGCGAGTTCTCCACAGATCCGAAGCCGAGCAGGAAGATGCCCTCGAGGAAAAGGCAGAGGAACTGAGCCCAAATACGGCCAGAGAAACCGAATCTGGCGAAAAGAAAATCGCTGAAGATGCCGCCCAATGAGCGCGCGAACAAGTTCATCAGGCCGAAGGAGCCTGCCAGGGCAGAGGCAGCGCCGGCCTCCATCTGGAAGTAGACGCGGAAATGGGTGGCCAGCTGCGCGTTCATGACCAGCTCCGTGCCAAAAAAAAAAATCAGAAAAATAATAACAAAAAAAAAAAAAGGCAACGAAAATAAGAAAAAGAAAAATAAAAGACAAGGAAAAAACAAAAAAGAACAAAAAAAAGAAAAAAAAAAAAAAATAGAAAGAAAAACAAGAATATATAAAATAAAATAAATAAGAGAGGAAAAAAAAAGTTAAAAAGAAAAAAGGGAAAAATAAAAAAAAAAAATAAAAAAAAAAATAGCAGGCGCCGTACTGGAAGATCATAATGACGATCCTGGGGTCCTTCAGGCACTCCACGTAGTCCCACATCGACGCGTTTGATGTCTTGCCCGTGTCGCTGGTCTTGAAGCGGGGCCCCGTTGGCATGTCCCAGCAAAACAGCTTCATGCTGATGGCAACCGCGACGAAGACGCAACCGGGGACGACCATGGACAGGCGCCAGGCCGTGTCAGAGCTCGCGCCCATCTCCTGGAAGGGCTTGAACAGGCACCACACGATGAAAATCTGTGTGACGCCGCCGCCGAGGTTGCCCCACCCCGCTGCGGTCGCGTTGGCGGTGCCCACCACGTTCGGGGCGAACATGAGGGAGCACCAGAACTGATTTGTGACGAACGTGGCCCCCGCGCAACCGATCATCATGCGGATCCGCCGGCCCCCGCTTGCCAGAGGTGACAAGGCGTGCGAGACAGTTGGCTGTCCCACTTCCCCTTTCCCCCTCCCCCCTCCCCAGGGCCCAAAATCACCGTTCAGGCAGGGGGGGGGCACGAGCTCCCCGGGGGTTGGGGCACGAACTCCCCGGCGCATGCCCGGGGCCCCCAGAGCCCCCAAATCTGCACTCCGCGGCCTCCAAGATGTCCACCATGCCATTGAAGCTGGCTCGAGCTGGGCTCCAACACGTCGAGGAGGCCTCAAAAACACCACAGGTGGCCTCCAGACGGCCCAAGAGGGCTCCGAGACGACCCCAGAAAAAGTCCCAAGAAGCAAAAACCGTCCCAATACGTTGGGAAAACGTACATGCTTTGCGTATTCGCTTCTTTGCTCTTAACAGCGTCCAACGCTGCCCTGGAGGCCCCAAAGAGAACTCCAGGACGGCCCAAGAAACTCCCAAGAGGGCCCCAAGACCACGAGGGGCATTTCGAACCGACACTTTGAGTTCCCCGACCCTCGATGGTACTCGATTGCACCAACGGGAGCTCAAGAACCTGACCGGACAAGAACGGGAAGCGCCGCTTTATCGAGCAAGCTTGTCAGAGGATGTATGGTTGAGAACGTCAAAGAAACTCAGAAACGTAACACCTCAGACCAAGACATGTACTAACTGTCGGTTCATTGTGCTGGTCTGCCTTGCTGGTCTGTCGAGCTAGTGTGCCGCCCTGGGCGCATGATGGACCTCGTGGGCCGTCGAGGGCTCTTGGAGCTCACTTGGGCCCTGTGGGGCCCTCTTGGGAGCCTTTTCGAGGGCCTGTTGGGAGCCTTCGGGGAGCCTCTTGGGGGCTTCTTGGGCCCTCTTGGGCTGTCTGGGCGCGTCTCGAGGGTATGCGCGGGCTCTCTTGGGCCATCTTGGCGCCCTCTTGGGCCGTTTTGGGGCTTTCTTGGGCAGTATGGGAGCCTCGTCCGGCGCTCTTGGGGGCCTCTGGGCGCCTCTTGGGGGCCTCTTGGGTGCCCCTTAGGGCGCTTTGGGGGTCCTCCGGGGAGCCTTTGGGTACTCCTTCGGGCCATCTTGGAACCCTCCGGGAGCGATTCCACGATGATGTTGGCTCAGAACCCCTTCCGGAACCGATTTTTTGAGAATGTCCCCTAGCGAAACGGCAATTTTTCAGAAACCTGACCGGACAAGAACGGGGATCGCCGCTTTGTCAACGAAGCCTGCCAGAGAATGTCCTGCTGAGGACGTCACAGAAACTCAGAAACGTAGACCAACAACGCAGCAGTACGGCAGACGAGCACGGCAGACCACAGCAGAACGGCAGACCAGCACGGCAGACCACAAGTGAACGGATGACCAGCACGGCAGAACGAGAAGGAGCACAGCAGACCAGCACAGCGGACCACAGGAGCACGGCAGACCATCATGGCAGACCACAGGAGCACGGCGGACCAAAACGACAGTCTATAGGAGCACGGCAGACCAACACGACAGACCACAGGAGCACGGCAGTCGACAGGAGCACGGTAACACAGGAGCACGGCAAACCAACACGAGACACCACAGCAACACGGCAGACCACAATAGCTCTACAGACCAACGCGGCAGACCACAGGAGCACGGCTGACCAGCACGGCAGACCACAGGAGGACAGCAGACCAGCACGAGCTTCATATGTATTGGGATGGTACCGAAAACTTGCATGTTTGATGATGTTTGCAGCGGCAGCTACATTTCGGAGAAGCCAAGAATTCGGAATAGACTTCAACGTTGCATGTTCGCGAGGATGTCTGCAGAGAGAGAGAAAGAGAGAGAAAGAGAGAGAGAGCGAGAGAGAGAGCCTCACTTTTAAGGAACATCGTCGGATGGCAGATCCTCCTACATCCCCATTTGGAGGAGGATGTATCAGGTGAAACGTTTGTGTTTGCAAAAGCGATGCTGGTAAATTATTAGTTTGATGAGGATGCCCCTAGCGAAATCGTATTTTCTTGTCGTCTTGAGGGCGCTCGTGGGGTCATCCTGGGGCCCATGTGGGGCTCTTTTGGGAAGTATTGAAGCTATCACGACATGGTTGGAATATTACGCTAGGAAGATATCATGTTTGAGGATGTCCCTAGCGAAACCGTCGTTATCGGAAGGCTCTTTGGGGCTATCCTGAAGCAGTTTGAGAGCGATTCCAATACGATGTTAAGCACGCATTTCTTGAAGGGCGATGTCAGATGTGCTTCATGCTTTGAAGTTATCCCAAGCGAATCGTAATTTTCGGCAGTCTTGAGGGCGTTATTGGAGCCATCTTGGGGTCCTTTTTGGGATATTGTTTCTCTGCCTTGAGGCACTTAGACAACGATACCATTCAGATGCTGGGAACTTTTGAAATTTTGAGGATGTCCCTGGCGAAATGGCAACTCTTGGAAACGACGTCGAAACATACAGCTGCGTTGGTCTGCCGTGTTCCTCATACTTTTATGAGGATGTCTGCAGCGAGAGCGTCGATTTCAACATAAAAGGTAGTCCGCCGACCCCCGCTTGCTGGAGGTGAAAAGGCGTGTGAAACATTTGGCTGTCCCCCTCCCCCTTTCCCCCTCCCCAGGGGTCCAAAATCCGATTAGAGGGGGGGGCCAGGGGGGGGCGGGGGGGTGGACGGACGAGCTCCCCAACGCACCCTGGGGGCCCCCAGAGCTTCCAAAAAGCCCCCCCCAATACGGGCCAAGAGAACCCCAAGAGACCCCCAAGACGCTCCAAGAGGGCCCAGAATAACCGAATGATCGCTCCAAAACACCCAAGATGGCCTCCAGACGGCCCAAGAAGCCTCCAAGACGCCCCAAGAGGCCTCCCGAGAGGGCCCCAAGAAGCAAAAAACAGTGCTTTTCCTGTAGTTTTTGAAAGTGTTTGGCCTCTCGCCTTCTCGGCTCCCCGACGCTCCAAGACGGCCTGAGAGGCCCCCAAGATCGCCCCAAGACGGCTCAAAAGGCCCCCAAGACGGACCTGGGACGGCCCGAGAGGGCCCCAAGACGGTCCAAGAGGTGCCCAAGGCAACCCAAGAGGGCCCTGAGACGGTCCCAAGTGTCAACGATAATGGGCGCACGATGTCTTTCATCGCTGCAAGCTCCGCGACGTCGAGCGTTATGAAAGTGGTCGCCACGCGATCAATCACACGCAGCAGTCTGAAATCAGGGAAACCCCAGGCAACGACTGGAGCACATCTGATAACTTGTTATCTGCTGATATCTCAAAAATGGATCCCCTGATATGATTAGAGCACAAAAGGCAGCGGCACACAACTTGTGATGTTATGTTGTGTTAACAAATCCTCGAACACCTAGCGAATTGAAAAATATCAAAACTGTTTGATCTACTGCGCTTCGAGCTGAGCACAAGACCTGCTCATCTTCACACATAGTATACTTTTTGCAGCTAAGAAGCTGGGGATCAGCAGCTTGCATGAAGAGCCTTACACTGTAAGAGACAGTGCGCTGTCTGAACCTGCATTCAGCATTGGTGCTCCAGCACCTGTCGAAGAAACACTGCCGCGTGCTCACGTTAAAACGAGACAAGTCCCAACCACGGTTGTAATGATTGACGATCCTCGCCACAAGGTCCACCTTGATGCCTGACACCGGGAGCTTCAACTCGCGCAAAATCCCTTGCAATGCGTAGTTCGGCATGGCGTTTAGCTTCCTCTCGATGTCTGCAGGCGCCCGCCTCGCAAGGTCGTCGGTCTTCATCTTGTCGATGGCGGATGGCCCCGCGATGCCCGCCAATATGGCGATGCTGGAGCGAGGCGTCGTATGTGTGTCCGGTGGCTTGTTGAAGTCGAATCCGGCGGCGCGCGGGCGTCCCTCGGCGGCACTGCATGCAGTAGCCTCCGGCACATGCTGAATTATCTGCTTAGCCCCCTGCCCCTTGGACAGACATTGAAACAAAAAACGAAACGCGGCCATGATCAGCGCCCCGATGGAAACTCCAAGAGCAAGCACTCCGGACGGCGAAAGCAAAAACTGCGACCACTTATCGAACGGCTCCACCTGGGCGCGCGAAGCTTGTCGATGCATCGATGGGTCACGCGCTGCATTCGCTGCAGTACCTGCTGCAAAGAACGGGAGAGCTGATCCCGATGAACAGCTGCTTGCCAGTACGCCTGAAAACAACGCTGCACGCATCGCGCGCGACGACGCGAAACTCACTGCGGAACTCACTTCAGCTGTACGCGCGACCTCGTGTACGTCAATCCTGCTTAATGTCGCCCATGGCGCTGTGATCTGTTGGGCGTGCGCAGTTGGCGTTGAGAGTGTCTGCGTCCTCCTGTAGCTCCACCCGTTGGGATCGATGTAGCTCCTCCCGCAGGTCGGTGAGCTGGCGCTTCCGGAAAGGAGGTGTACGGGGATCTGGTCCGAAATACCAGAGGTCCTCATGAAAGACTCGGTCTTGGCAGGGTGTATCCATCTTCTCGGCGAGCCCGTCGGCTAGCTGTTGTTCTGGCCATGCCCGTTTGATGCCTCCACGCTGGCACTCCTGCCTGATAATGGCGGCCTCGAGTGAAAACCTCGGGTCGGATAAGTGGACGCGCTCCTTGACCGTGCAATCCCATAGAGAACGAGAGCCGGTAACCAAAACACCTTGCCAATATTCAGCTGCATAACGGTACTCATGGCCGAGCTTGTTGGGAGAAAAAATGCACGCGCACGCTGCGCGAGCCCAGAACGTCACATCTTGAGCTTCCGAACAACTGTAGCCCTCCGCTGATAGGGCACTCCGTACAGCACGTCCGATACGTCCGCTTGACCAGGATAAAGGTATGCATGGGTAGAGCTTGGTGTGGTCCTCCGTCATGTCGCCATCTCCAACAATGATGTAAAATCCGCGCTGGCTCTCGTGGTTCGGCACGTTGTCGAATGAGGCGTCGCGCGGGGCGATGGCCACAGACTTCTCGAATTCCAAACCTCCACGAAACATCATCACCATCTCCCCCTCGCGGCGGATAGAACGAACAAGCTTGTTCATGTCCTTCATGTCCTGCGCCGTCGGTTGAGTCAGCTGGCCTGCCAGCCTGGATGCCTCGAAGCTGTACTTGTGAAGCAAAAGCCGTACCACCCACTGAACCTGTCCATTCATGCCTCCTAGCGCTCGGTGTTCAGCTGCGGTGAACTTCTCCTTCTCCCGCCTAAACCTCTCAAGGGCCATTCGGTAGTCGGTCATGTCGTCGATGTACTCGCCGACGTCGATCGATATTACATAGTCATGGTCCTGCTTGAAGCGTCGGCCCGTACATGCCGCTCCTTCTGGTGTGCTCTGCACAGAACTCTACCTGCTCCTTCAGCTTCTTGATGGTGCTGCTGCAAAGCTCGCGGTTGTTCTCCATGTCGAAAGCGATGAGCACATCGTCGATGTGTAAGCACAAGAGACCCACCAGCATGCCACGATGTATGAGTATGAACGCGGCCGTCTCGAACTGCAGCTGCTCGGAGCCAATCGAGAACAGGATCGGGACGATACGCATGCACCGCGCCCATGCCGCGTCGTTGGCCCCGTAGATGCTCTTGTTGGGCTTGAGTAGCCCCCCCCCCCCCCCCTCGAGTCCAGGCATGCCCGTGCCCGGTAGGTTCTCGGGCAACATGAAGTACAGCTCCATCTCGATCTTGACTCCTTGCAGAAACGCGCCAGCAGCGTCGCCAGTAAAGCATGAAAGCCGCTTGCATTCTGCAATGCTGCAAAGCAGGTTCTGATGGCGAGCGAGTCGGGGAGTCGCTGCGTAACTTCTCGTCGTACTTTTCCTGGAAGCCTTTGCCGACGATCCGGCGCTTGGGCTGGAAGTTGGCGTCGTAGTCGCTGCCCTTGTTCGTCCGTGCGGCACGACTCTCGATATGCAACGCCTTGTCGATATTCTTGGCCATCGTCGGTGCGATGGCCGTGACTGCGCCGTACTTGGACCAGGTACTCCACTCCTTGACAAGCGCGTTGAGGGTCTTCTCCGCGCGCTCCTGACTGCATCCGTCGTCATTAGTGAACACCTCCGTGACGTTGATCTCCGCCATGGTCACCCGATCGGCTCGTTCGGCAGAAAAGGCCTCGCACAGCACCTGGTTGGTAGCATGCGCTGTACGAGCGCGCTTGTCCGTGGCGGTCGCGGCAATGTTGTGCCCGATGTGCGCGCGCTCCGCGCAGACTGTCTGAGACGCCGGGGTCTTCCGCTTGAACTTCTGTCGTGCACGTTGTCGTTGCGGGGCGCTAGGTTCCCGAGGTGCACGGTCAGCTGCTCGCGCAGGCTGACTCCTTGGACTTGTTGGGAGGCGTAGCTGCTGGAGGCGGATTGTCTAGCCCATTGGATTGGGGAGGCCCTCTCGGTGCCGGACCTTCTGCCCCATCTCCTTGCGGCGGTGTATCTCCTCCTGGATCACGTCCTCCCGATGAATATTGCTCGGCCCTCTAGGTATATTCCGCCGCGATGTCGAGCATGTCCACGTCGCGCACTAGAGGAATATCGAAAGGAACCTCCAGACTGTTGCGTGACAAGTCCTCCCAATAGCCTTGGCGATGCAGTTAAGATATGCGTCGTCTCAAATGCTTGTCCAGCGGGATGACATCCTCTCCCGGAACTGTCGTCGTCGCACATCTTGCAATCCGTGTACCTAGAATGGCGTCGTGAAGGCCGCGGGACTCAGTGCCGACGATCAGGGGCCATGACTCCGGCATGTTGCACGAGCCATCTGGCCACTCCACCTGCACGCGCCGCCGCCGAGCCAGTGGTTGATCTTCATCATCTCCGTCACGAGCTAGAACTCAGCCCATATGCTGCGCATGGGGGTTCTGGTGGCTGTGCAGGTGCAGGAGGTGGCTGAGGTTGTAGTCCATGTTGTAGCGGCTCCCTTGGCGCGGTAAACGCGGTGTTCCGAAGGTCCACAAAGCCGCGCCGTCCACGCGGTGCCCCCTGCCATTCTCGTTGATCGACGGGCATGCGGTCCTCGAACTCGTTGAGCGTAGATCTCCGTAGGATGTTCGGTCCTGCTAGGATGGGTATCCCGTTGTGAGTCAGCCAGTAGCCACACTGATCACATCCAATAACTCGAGCTGGCCCATGCCATTCCCGATGCAGATCTCGCTTGCCTCCACCTGTTCGCCAATAGTGGGCCCACTCGCCACGCAAGCAAGGCCCAGGCTGAGGTCGGGTATTCGATAGCACCGCTCGTCGTAGAGCTGAGCTGTTGGCTGCCTGGTGGACTGCGATCTCACATGTTCCCTGTAATTGTGATCGGTGCCACGTGAGAGATCCGCGTGCTACTTGTCCTGCGATCACCGGGTCGGCGTTGAGATATCCAAATGATGTTGGTGTAAATGGATTTTCGCCAAGAGCCCGTTGAGATGGAGAGAAGCCCTTGTTGTTAGAGAGCCGGTTGATGGTCTGGGCGATTAGATATCCAACAATATTTGCCCCCGTCGTCTCTCGCCTCGAGCTCGTGAAACACCTTTGTAGCCATCTCCTTGAAGAACCTGATCTTCCTCTCCAACTTTCCATGCAGCTGGCGTTCTTCGGGTGCCACTCGAAAGCATGGAATTCCAAGGTCCTCGCACATAGCCTCGAACTCCAGACGAAAAGCTGCGTCTGGGTCGATGTGAAGATTCCGCGGCGTCATCAAATTGCGCTGCCGGCCCTCCACGAACGCAACCTTTGCATGGTTTGACATGGGGATTGGCTTGCGATCTCCACCGCTAATCATCCACTGAATGGTGGTGAAGTCGGCAGACAGGTCTAGCATGAGCAAAGGCGCGTGCATGGTTCCGTAAAGGACAGGCACGTAGGCGATGTCCATGCCAAGGCATTGATTGAACTTGGTCCAATTCGGTAGGTTGGTGATCGGATGTGATGGCGGTCGTTGCAGAGCGTCGCATAGCTCGCCCTTGAAGAGCTTTGCTGCCGAAGTCGCCGCTGGTGAGCCCCCGCCGTTCTGGATGTGCCTCGGGGGCTCTTCGCCTCGTAGTGCATGAGAAAACTGAACAAGCAGCTTCTTGGTCGCTGTCTTCATGATAGCTGGTGCCTGCTGCCAATCGTTGTAGGTCTCCGCGCTCGAGCCCGTGATGAGTCCTGAGCTTTACGTGAAGCCTGTAGCGGGGCACGCGTCAGTAATGATGGGAACTCCGAGGATGGTCGAACCTCCAAACAGCTTCTCCAACCCGTACTGATGCTTCGTGCCCCCCAAGATTCACTCTGCCAGGCCGGGTGTCCATACTGCATAGTCGCTTGACTTGCCGCCTCGACCTTGAACTCTCCATGTCAATGATCTTGAGAGCATCGAACCTCCAGTGCATACGCCAATGCCACTGCTGAGGTAACAAGCCTCGTAGGCTTGAGCAGCAAATCTCCGTTGTCGTCTTGTGGGCCAAGAGCACGCTGGCCACAGCGAAACCATATAAGCATATCTTTAGGTAGAGCCTGCAGTATCATCGTCCATTCCTGCGAGCATAGAAGGTTCTCCAATTGCACATGTCGTTTCTGCTCCAGTCGAAAACTTGACCACTTGAACGGTAAATTGTACATGTGCAAATGCTTTTGTCCGGCGTCTCCGACGTTCCTTCGGCGGGTAGAAGTTGCCGATGGGGGAGAGGCCGTCGCGCGGGAACGGGGCGATGGTGAGGCGCGGGTCCTCCTCCTCTAGCTCCCTCATGGTTGCGGCTTGCGCGCTTGGTAGTGGCAGGTTGTCGCCCGTGGTGCGCGGGCCCTTGCATTGACTCGTCTTGAGTCCGCCGCTCGTTGCCATCTTCGTTACGTTGCACTCTCCGCCGTGAACATTCTTCACGACTGTCCCGGGCACGCGTCGCCGATGAGCATCGGTCCGCGAGACACTCCATGTAGCCCGCTGCTCGCGCCCTTGTTCTGCGATCCATGCGACTACCTGCTTCTTCCAGGATTTCGCCATGATGCCGGTGTCCGTGGCCGCCTCCGACTGGATGGGCCGGTCGCCTTGAGGAAACTGAGCTTCTTCTTCAGCAGTCCACGCATCGAGCGTCTTGGCGCTGACGGTCGGTGCTTCAGCTCGTTGTGTCTCCCTGGGGAAGTCCGTGATTTTGATCATCAGGTGGTTCTTCCTCGAGAATGGGAATCTTCGCAGGCTGGTCCGATAGCTTCTTGAATGTCACCTGGTTGCCCATGACCTTGACGACCGTCTCTAGGGCGTCCAACTGATCGACGCTCATGAGCATGAGGGCGTCCGAGTCGGGTAGCCTCTCGAAGATGAGCGTGCAGTCCCCCTGCCTTGGATGCCGCTTGGTACTGCCTGTGTGCTCTCTGCTTGCACTGGCGCCGCCGTGTTGGTTCCCTTGAACACGCTTTTGGTTGGCATCTGCATGTCGGCCTAATTGAACTTCTCCAGTTGGTTGTCGGTCGCTCGATCTTCGGCACATGGCGCCAGAGCTGCCTTGCCCAGTACCGCGTAGCCCGGTGGTGCCGCATGGTCAACCACCATCGTGTCGATCATGGCGTTCGGCACGCTGCTGACGTTGTTGGTCACCTCGGTCGGGTTGATCATGTAGTTCTCCATCGGGAGGCCGACTCTGGTCGCCAGCATGGCTCCAGCCAGGCCAATGCGAGCCAGAAAACCTCCAGCACGTCCTTTTCCTGTCCGCGTCCTTTGGCCACGCCGAAGGCGCCGCCCGTGCCGGCCGGCCATGGTCTTGCTGCACTCTGGATCTCCGGCCCAGCGCCCCTTCTCGCCGCACGCGCCGCACTTGCTAGCCTTCTGGAAAACTCCAAGTCGGTCTTGAAGATCCTTCGTGCCGCAGCTGATATTGCCGTCAAAATCGATGTAGGCATTGCCCTGCTTAAAGCCTCTGTTCGCCTTGCCGCCCATGATGAACTGGCGCTGCTTGGTGTAGTCGGGTCCTGAAAATCCTGCCTTGCCCTTGCCGCGGCCCCTTGCCGCAATCGCGCCCACGACCGTCTGATCCTCTGCCGCGAAGGTTGAAATCTCATCCTCGCTCATGTCGTTGACGTCGACCACCGCCATGGCTGTCTGGATCTCCTCCATTCCTGCTGAAAGGATGTCCATCTCGTCTCCGTCCTCCGTGTCGCCGTCCTCGTCTCCACTGTAGTTGCCTTCGTCCCCGTCGTCTTCGTCGCCTTCTGGGATTGCTCCGAAGGCTGAGTTCCACCGGAACTTGCGTCCTCCTTCGCGTCGCGGATGTCCGCCTCGCGCGCCCATGTTGTCGACCTGGATCTCCCGGACCTCGCGAATGGCGTCCTAGTCGCACTCGTTCTGCGCCTGGCCCAGAAACGCCATGTGCTGCGTCTCGGTGATGCCACTCATGTCGAGCTGGAAGAAGGTCCTGAAGTCCTCCGAAACCTGCGTGCCTCCTCGGGTCAGGTCTCGTAGCTTCTCGCATGCTTGAGCTCGTCGCTGGATGAAATCTTTGATCGGCTCGTTGGGTCTTGGCGCCCGCGCCTGGAAAATTCCAAAAACGCATTGTGCTTCTGTCGGGGGGGGGCACCTTCCCGCAGTGACTCAGTGCCGTCTTGAGTATCGTATCGCGTCCAGCGCGGCCTCGATGGCCTCGTCATTTTCTGCGTCAGCGTTGCCTTTCTTGAAATGCTTGCCGGGTGCTGTCACGCTGATTTTCTCGTCTTTGTGGCGCAGTGCCCACGCTTTGTCCGTCAGGCCGTCGTTCACTTTTGCGATGAAGCTTTTCTTTTTCTCTCTGTTTTCCATTCAGAGAAATCCCAGCCGAACTCTTTTTTGTTTCTTTCTCTCTCTCTCTCTCTCTCTCTCTCTCTCTTTCTCTCTCTCTCTTTCTCTCTCTCTCTCTCTCTCTCAAAGTCCTCTCTCTCTTTCTCCCTCTCTCTCTCCTCTCTCTCTCTTTCCTCTCTCTCTCTCTCTCTCTCTCTCATCTTCTCTCTTCTCTCTCTCATCCTCTCTCTCTTCTCTCTCTCCTCTCTCTCTCTCCTCTCTCTCCTCTATCTCCTCTCTCTCCTCCTCTGTCGCTGTCTCTCTTCCTCTCTGTCTCTCTGTCATCTCTCTTCTCTGTCCTCTCTGTCTCTCTGTCGCTTGCTGTCTCTCTGTCTCTACTGCTCTCTGTCTCTCTGTCCGCTCTGTCTCTCGGTCTCTCTGTCTCTCCTGTCTCCTGTCTCTCCTGTCTCTCTTGTCTCTCTGTCCTCTGTCCTCTCTCTCTCATCTCTCTCTCTCTCTCTCTCTCTCTCTCTCTCTCTCTCTCTCTCTCTCTCTCTCCTCTCTCTCTCTTCCCATTCCTCTGCCGCTGCATCTCTGTCGTAGCATGGGGCGCCGTCCTTATCCAACCAAACGTGCGCTGCCCCTTTTTTCTCTCTGGTGATTGACATCTTGATGCGAGAAGGGTCGTCGTCGTCGGTGCTGCTGAACTCGCAGCGGTGCGAGAACTGGTTCTCGATGGGACATGTAGTGCCTGATCGCAAGAAACAGGTCTTTATATTATATGTAGAGTGGCAAGAACAAGCAAGTGACATTGTGTGCTCTGCATAACGGCCGTCCTCTCACACATTGCTCCGCACTACCAGTGCCAATGATAATGGGTGCACGATGTCTTTTATCGCTGCAAGCTCCGCGATGTCGACCGTTATGAAAGTGGTCGCCACGCGACCGACCACACACAGCAATCTGAAATCAGGGAAGCCCCAGTCAATGACTGGAACACATATGATCACTTGTTATCTGCTGATAGCTCAAAAGGGGATCCCCTGATATGATAAGAACACGACTGGCAGCGGCACATATTTTGTTATGTTATGTTGTGTTTAAAATTCTCGAACACCTCGTGAATGAAAAATATCCAAACTGCTTGATCTGCTGCGATTCGAGCCGGGCCCTCAACCTGTTCATCTTCACACAAGAAAGGCCCAAGAGGGGGACCACGATTCGAAAATCCTAACCCTCCGCCCCGAGAGGGCCCCAGGAGGCCCCAGGAGGCCCCAAGAGGCCCCAACACTGCCCCCAAGAGGCTTCGAAACTTGCTCCAAGAGGCCCCCGAGAGGCCCACCACGATATCCCAACGAACATTCAAGAGGCCTCTGACCCACCACCCAGGCGCGGCGGCGGGATGGGCCGAAGGCCAGTATATCCGCCGCCCCTTGTTGATTTATCACAGGGGCGCCTGGCGCGCTGGATCCTTGAGATGTTGGTTTTGGTTCTTCTCCAAAAGATTGTTCGATTTGTTCAAGGATGTTTCAGGCGCAACGCTCAGTTTCGAAGGTTCGTCAAATTCATGACTTTCATGTTTTGGAGGATGTCCCAAGCGAAGAGCAAGTTTTTTAGATAAAAGACGATGTTGCGAACATCTAGTTCGTGCGATCATGTCTCAAACGAAATGCTCATTTCGAGGAACCTGACCGGACAAGAACGGGATGCGCCGATTTGCCAACGAACCCTGTCAGAAAAACGCACGTTGATAATGTCAAAGAAACTTAGAAACGCAGACCAACAACGCAGCAGTGCGGCAGACGAGCACGGCATACCACAGCAGCACGGCAGGCCAGCACGGCAGACCACAGGAGCACGGCTGACCAGAACGGCAGAACGAGAAGGAGCATAGCAGACCACAGGAGCACGGCAGACAACCACGGCGGACCACAAGAGCACGGCAAACCAAAACGGCAATCCACAAGAGCACGGCAGACCGGCACGGCAGACCAGAGGAGCACGGCAGACCAGCGCGGCAGACCCCAGGGGTCCTCGTGAAACAGCAGATGACCAGTTCTACAGAACCGAACTGCGGCGTGAACCACAGAGCCCGGCATACCTAGCACGGTCAGACCAGACGAGGCACGGCGACCACAAGCAATGCACTACAACTCAAGGCCTTCCATCCGGGGTCTACTTGGACAACGGCATAACCAGCACGGGCCAGGGTCAGGACACGGCAGACCAGCACGCCTGCATCCTTTGAAAGGATGATTGGTATCGAGAACACCCCAATCCGAGTCCACATGTTTTTCTGGTGTGTCTGCGCAAGGCTGTAATTTCCAGATGCAAGAAACACTAAAATATTTGCACGCTACTTCATCATTCCATTCGTAGGAACGTCGTCGTATGGCAAATCCCCCAGCACCCGCATTTTGGGAGGATGCCTCAAGCGAAAATGTCGTTTTTGCAACAATCGATGCTGATAACTTCTCGTTTGGTGAGGATTTCCGCTTCAAAACCGTTATTTTCGGCCGTGTCATTTTTCGGGCCGCTCTCCAAATTGGTCCCAATGCCGAAGCTATACAACTCTTGTGTTGCCGATTGGGCTGGGCCGGAAACGCGCGGTACCGAACAGTCCGGCAAGCACGTCGCGCCCTGGTCTCAGGGAAGGCGAAACAACCAGGCTCCAAGCTGGGGAGCAACCCAACCCGGACCCAATGCACTTCGGTCAGGCCAAAGACAGGCTTGGAAAATGATACAGGCGTGGGTTGGGGTGGGTAATTTCCGCAGCCTCGAGCCACAAAGGCAACGGTGCTCATGCAGTCGCCCACCCAACCCCCAAATGATACTTGGGTTGCTTTGTGAGAGCAAATTGCTACTTCAGAAAAACGTCCACGCCGGAGGCGCTTCCCGCCATTCCCCGAGATGACTCAGGATGCTTCTAAAAGACCCACATAAGGCCCTCAGAGTCCCGCAAACGGCCCCCAAGAGCTCAACAAAGCCTCACCCGTGTATTTCTTTCCTCTTCTGCGGGTCGGTGGAACGGCGTAAGCCCCTTGAATGAGGATGAAGTTCCACTCTGCCGAGATGCCCGCCGCGGCGAAGACCCAGATGGCTCCGAAAAGCAGGAGGCCAGACTGCACATTGACCGGGCCGAACCTCTCGAGGAGGGTGCCGAGCGCCACGCGCACAAAGATCGTGATGCCGACCGAGGTGATGCTTGAATACAGGATCGTCGAACCGCAGTGCGTGCCCGGGCTGCAAACGCACTTAGGGAGGACTTCGAAATTATCCGCCACCGTGCCCCCTGACACGTCGAGACGTGCTAGAATGCCAAGTGCTGTCTGGCAGGGTTTCTGTAATCTTCTAAGGCCCCCCCCCCGCTCGACGCGCCCAATTGCATGCATCGCCCCCTCTCCCGAGGCTCTCTGGGCGGCCATGACGCCTCCTTGGCGCTCTTCATGGCGTCCAAGATGCCCAAGATGGCTTCCCATACGGACCTGGGAGGCCACCAGGGCCGCCAAGATGGCCCAAGATGCCTCCAAGATGGTCCAAGATAACCCCAAGATGGCCCAAGATGGTCGGACACCGTCGGACATCGCGAGACAAAGAGGTGTACATATGGGGATCTCCACGTCGAATCTAATAAGTTGTTGCACGATTTTCGCATTCTTGCCTTTGCGCTTCCGTCGGCTCAAGACGACCCAAGAGCTCTCCAAGTTGGCCCCACGACGGCCCAAGAGGGCCTCAAGGTAGCCCAAGAGGCCTCCAAGACGGCCTTAAGACAGCCCAAGAGGGCCCCTGGAGAGCCCAGGACGGACCCAAGAGGGCCTCAAGCTGGCCCTGAAGTGCTTCCGGAGGGACCCAAGCCGGCCTGAGAGGACCCCCTGGACGGCCGAATACGGCCCAAGAGGGCGGGCCTCAAGACGGCCCAAGACGGCCGCAAGGTTCCCCCAAGACTGCCTCTCAGGAGCTCAGGACAGCCCAAAGACGACCAAACGAGGTCCATGTGGGCCCTGCAGGAACGAAGACGAAAGGTGTCACATGTGACGGCTTTCCTCTTCGTCGTCGTCGTCGTCGTCGTCCTCCTCCTCCTCATCACCACCGTCCTCGTCCTCGTCCTCCTCATGACCATGGTCACCACCACCACCATCACCATAACCATCACCATCATAGTCATCAGCACCATCGTCTTCGTCATCGTCATCGTCGCCATCGTCATCATCATCATCATCATCATCATCATCATCATCATCATCATCATCGTCGTCGTAGTCGTCGTCGTCACCATCAGCATCGTCATCGTCATCGTAATCGTCGTCATCATCACCAGCATAAGCATCAGCATCATCATCATCGTCGTCATCATCAGCATCATCATCATCATCACCATCGTCATCATGTTTTTTCGTCCCCCGCGTCCGCCACAATCCTCCTCCTCCTTCTCCTCCTCCTCCTCCGCCTCCCCATCATCCTCCTCAGCCTCTCATGGAAATAATCATGCTCATCATCACAATCGTCATCAGGTTCGTCGTCGTCGTCATTATCATTATCATTATCATTATCATCATCATCATCATCATCATCATCATCATCATCATCATCATCATCATCATCATCATCATCATCATCATCATCATCATCATCATCATCATCGATTCGAACAGCTGCCACCGAAAATGGAAATGCTGGGCTGGCACGGTGGCGGGACTCACCGCAGGCAGCTGGATATTTCATGCACGCCTCGGGGCACAGATCGACGTCGTCCGTGAGCGTCTCGCTCTGCGTGCACGCGGTGGCCGCCACCCCGCCACAACTCTCGTCCCAAACGTCCTGCGGCACATCCTGGCACCCAGTCGGATCGTTATCCTCTCCGATCTTCCCATGCTGGCAATACTTCTTCCCCGACGCGATCGCCTTGAACTTCAAGACTGCTTTCCTCTCTGGGTTCGCAACCGGTGGGAAGAGCTGGTTTTCGCAAGCGTCGATGCTGTGGACCACCTCGATAGCGATCGGGCTCAGGGCGAACCAACCCACGAACGCCACGAAGAAAGATACTGTCGAGGCCCAGAAAGCCCGCATGTGAGCACCATGCCTCTTGTCCCTGCCGAGCGCGCCGCACAGCCTCAACTCCGTGGACTTCAACTGGTCGTTCACCCTCACCGCGAACTCCTGCTCCGACATGTCTGCGTGGCTCTCGCGCGTGTGCTGCCGGGCCAGAGTGACCGTGCCGGAACTATTGGAGCCGAAACAAAAAATGCTACGGAGAAAAAAAACATGAGGAGGCCTCCAGCCTCCAAGGGCTGCCGGGGAGACAATCAAAACATCCACACAATGCACGGTTCGCCGCGCCCAAGGGGGGGGAACCTGCCGGCCCCCTTGTGGGGCCACCAAGCTGCGAGGGCCAAGCTTTGCCGCAGCCACTCCAGTTTCTAATTGTGACTTGTTGCTGAGCGCGCGAGGCCCCTAGGCCGCAACCTATCGTGAATTAGGCCAGACTCGCGCTCCCGAGGCCACAGTCAATCGTAAATCATGTCGGGCTCGCGCTCCCGAGGCCGCCCTCCCCCTTCAATTATACCAGGCACGCGCTCCCGCGGCCACGATCCCTTGCAAATTACGCCAGACTCGCGATCCCCACCCCACGATCCCTCGCAAATTACGCCAGATTCGAGCTCCCGACGCCACAGTCCATCGACATTTCGCCAGACCAGATTCGCGACCCCGAGGCCGCGATGCCCCGCAATCTACACCAGACTCGTTAAAAACACAAGTTATGTGAATTCCGCGTTTCTAGACCACGTGGTCACAGGAGCACCCACAGCAGCATGCAAAACAAAATAACAAATAAAAACTGAATATCATTTCGCGCTCCTGGACCGCGGCCGGCCACCGGAACACCCAGCGGCAGGCAGGACAGAAGAGTGACAAAAGTTCATACTCTTTTCGCGCTCCTGGACCGCTCGCCACCAGGGCACCCACAGCAGCACGTCAGACGGAAGAGAAACCGGGATTTTGGGTTGCTTCCATACGAAATCCAAGAGAAAACCGGGATCTTGGAGTGTTTCCATAGGAAATCCAAAGAGGAAAACCGGGATCTTGGAGTGCTTCCGTAGGAAATCCAAAAGAAAACCCGGATCTTGGGCTGCTTCCATAGGAAATTCATAGGAAAACCGGGATGTTGGGCTGCTTCCATAGGAAGTCCAAAGGAAAACCGGGATCTTGGGCTGCTTCCATAGGAAATCCAAAGCAAAACCTTGATTTTGGACTGGTCCCATAAGAAATCAAAACAAACAAATAATAATACAAAAAAACGGGATCTTGGAGTGCTCCCATGAGAAATCCACAAGAAAACCGGAATCTTGGATTGGTTCCATAGGAAATCCACAAAAAACCGGAATCTTGGATTGGTTCCATAGGAAATCCAAAGGAAAACCGGGATATTGGGCTGCTTCCCTCGGAAATCCAAAGGAAAACCGGGATCTTGGGGTGCTTCCATAGGAAATCCAAAGGACAATCTGGATCTTGGGGTGCTTCCATAGGAAGCCCGAAGGAAAACTGGGATCTTGGACTGGTTTCATAAAACGAGAGAAGAAGGTGATCTTGGATTGGTACAGTAAAAAAACAAAAAGAAAACCGGGATCTTGGAGTGCTTCCTTAGGAAATCCAAACGAAAACCGGGATCCTGGACTGGCCCCATAGGAAATCCGAAAGAAAACCGGGATCTTGGATTGGTTTCATAAAAAATCCAAAGAAAACTGGGATGTTGGGCTGCTTCCATAGGAAATCCAAAAGAAAACAAAGGTCTTTGATTGCATCCATAAGAATCCAAAGGAAAAACCGGGATCTTGGAATTGTTCCTTAGGATATCCATATGAATACCGGGATCTTGGACTGATCCCATAGGGAATCCAAATAAAAACCGGGATCTTGTATTAACTGCGTGACAAATCCAAAGGAAAACCGGCCGGGATCTTGGATTGCTTCCTTAGGAAATCCAGGAAGCCCAAAGGCAAACCGGGATCTTGGGGTGCTTCAATGGGGAATCCAAGGGAAAACAAGAACCTTGGATTGCTTCCAAAAAAATCCAGAAAGGAAAACCGGGATCTTAGGCTGCTTCCCTAAAAAATCCAAAGGAAAACCGGGATCTTGGAGTGCTTCCTTAGGAAATCCAAATGAAAACCGGGATCTTGGGGTGCTTCTATAGGAAACCCAAATGAAAACCGGGATCTTGGTTTGGTTTCATAAAAATCCAAAGGACAACCGGGATCTTGGATTGGTTCCTTAAGAAATCCAAAGGAAAACCAAGATCTTGCTTAGGAAATGCAAAGGAAAACCGGGATCTTGGAGGGCTTCCATAAGAAATCCAAAGGACTGGTTTCATGAAAAAAACCCTAGAAAGGAAAACTGGGATCTTGGAATGCTTCCACAGGAAATCCAAAGGAATACCGGGATCTTGGAGTGCTTCCATCGGAAATCCAAAAGAAAACCAAGATCTTGGGGTTCTTCCCTCGAACGAAGCTGGGTGAAAAAAATGGTTTCTTGTGATTTGCATCGTGGGGGGGTAAAGGAGGGGGGGGTTTAGTGATCCGAATTGGGGGGGCGGGACCCCAGTAGATTCTATCACGACCAATGAAGAAAAAAGAAAAAAAAAAAAAAAAAAAAAAAAACCAACAGGAAAGCCGGGATGTTTGATTGGTTCCTTAGGAAATCCAAAGGAAAACCGGGATCTTGGACAACTTCCATAAGAAATCCAAAGGAAAACCGGGATCTTGGATTGCTTATATATGAAAAAAAACTGGATCTTGGGCTGCTGCCATACGAATTCCAAAGACAAACTGGGATCTTGGATTGGTTCCTTAATGAATCCAACGGAAAACCGGAATCTTGGACAACTTCCATAGGAAATCCAAAAGAGAACCGGGATCTTGGATTGCTTCCTAAGAAATCCAAACGAAAACTGGAATCGCGGGCTCCTTCCATGGGAAATCCAAAAGAAAACCGGGATCTTGGATTGTCTCCTGAAGAAATCCAACGGACAACTGGGATCTTGGACAACTTCCATAAGAAATCCAAAAAGGAAAACCGCGATATTGGGCTGCTTCCACAAGGAATCCAAAAGAAAACCGGGATCTTGGGGTGCTTCCATAGGATATCCAAAGGAAAACCGGGATTTTGGATTGCTTCCGTAGGAAATCCAAAGGAAAACCGGGATCTTGGGCTGCTTCCATGGGAAATCCAAAGGAAAACCGGGATCTTGGGGTGTTTCCATCGGAAATCCACCGGAAAACTGGGATCTGGGATTGCTTCCATATAGGAAATCCAAAAGCAAACCGGGATCTTGGGGTGCTTCCATTGGAAATCCAAAAGAAAACCGGGATCTTGGGGTGCTTCCATAGGAAATCCAAAAGAAAACCGGGATCTTGAGTGCTTCCATAGGAGATCCAAAGGAAAACCGGGATCTTGGATTGCTTCCATGGGAAATCCAAAAAGAAAAAAAAACATGATCTTGGATTGCTTCCATAGGAAATCCAAAAGCAAACCGGCATCTTGGGGTGCTTCCATTGGAAATCCAAAAGAAAACCGGGATCTTGGGGTGCTTCCATGGGAAATCCACAAGAAAACCAGGATTTTGGGGTGTTTCTATAGGAAATCCAAAGGAAAGCCAGGATCTTGGATTGCTTCCATAGGAGATCCACAAAGAACCGGGATCTTCGGGTGCTCCCATAGGAAAACCAAAGGAAAGCCAAGATCTTGGATTGCTTCCATAAGAAATCCAAAAGGAAACCGGGATCTTGGAACGCTTCCATAGGAAATCCAAAAGAAAACCGGGATCTTGGGATGCTTCCATAGGAAATCCAAAGGTAAACCGGGATCTTGGATTGCCACCATAGGAATTCCGAAGGAAAACCGGGATCTTGGGGAGCTTCGATTGGAAATCCAAAGGAAAAACCAACATCTTGGATTGCTTCCATAGGAATTCCGAAAGAAAACCGGGATCTTGGGATGCTTCCATAGGAAATCCAAAGGAAAACTGGGATCTTGGATTGCCTCCATAGGAATTCCAACAGAAAGCCGGGATCTTGGATTGCTTCCATAGGAAATCCAAAAGAAAACCAGGATCTTGGATTGCTTCCATACGAAATCCAAAAGAAAACCGGCATCTTGGGATGCTTCCATGAGAAATCCAAAGGACAACGAGCATCTTCGATTGCTTCCATAGGAAATCCAAAAGAAAACTTGGATCTGAGATTACTTCCATAGGAAGTCCAAAGGAACACCGGGATCTTAGATTGCTTCCATGGGACATCCAAAAGAAAACCGGGATCTTGGGGTACTTCCATCGGAAATCTGCAAGAAAACCGGGACCTTGGATTAGTTCCATAGGAAATCCAAAGGAAAACTTGGATCTTGGATCGCTTCCAGAGGCAATCAAAAGGAAAACCTGGATCTTGGATTGCTTCCATGGGAAATCCAAAAGAAAACCGGGATCTTGGATTGCTCCCATGGGAAATCCAAAAGAAAACCAGGAAGGTGGGGTGCTTCCATCGGAAATCCACAAGAAAACCGGGATCTTGGATTGGTTCCATCGGAAATCCTAAAAGAAAACCATCATCTTGGATTGCTCCCATACGGAATTCCAAAGGAAAACCGGGATCTTGGGGTGCTTCCATTGGAAATCCAAAGGAAAACCGGGATCTTGGACTACTTCCATAGGAAATCCAAAGGGAAACCGGGATCTTGGGGTGCTCCCATAGGAAATCCAAAGGAAAACCGGGATCTTGGATTGCTTCCATAGGAATTCCAAAAGAAAACCGGCATCTTGGATTGCTTCCACGGGTGATCCAAAGACAAACCGGAAATCTTGGCTTGCTTCCATAGGAAATCCCAAAGTATCCTGCGCGAAAGGACCCAACCATATGCAATTGTGAATACTGCAATTGTGAATATCTTCTCGGTGGAGCCCCCTACGGGGACACGAAACGTACGAGGGGTGTGCCGAAATGGGTGTGCGGGACGCATGCGGGCACACCCACTGGGACCTTTGGTGGAGCTCCCTATGGGGCCACGAAACGTGTGAGGGGTGTTCCGAAATGGGTGTGCGGGACGCATGCGGGCACACCCACTGGGACCTTCGGTGGAGCTCCCTATGGGGCCACGAAACGTGTGAAGGGTGTGCCGAAATG